TTATTTTGCATTTTTTGCTTCATTTTTACATGTGCCTCATCTACACCTACCCTGCTACTTAGACGAGTTCGTAAAGGAGGTGGGCTTGGGGAAGCCTTGGGTGACGGCCTTGACGCAGAACTCGAATCCGAGCGCGCACATATCAGCCAGGAAGCCCTGGCTTCCCAGAACCCTCCCTTTAGCAGCCCCCTCTTCTCGAGTCGCTTGTTCGGCGGCCATTCTCTCCACGACATCAACAATGTCCTCCCACTCGGCATCCCTGGCGTCGTGGACCATATCCCAGTCGTTTTCGGTGTCGGGCATGATGCGGTTCTAGTGGGAACGGCCGGTACTGTTAGACGGAAACCTTGGGGCAGCAGGAGATGTAATGTCGCGGGTGCTGGTGCCTTGTTGGCTACCTAATGGGCCTTGCATACTTTCGTGGGGCTTTAGGTGAGCGAAAGAAAATGCGCTAGCCCGCGCGAGTCTAGGTATGACCCTCCTTGATCTGGATCTTTCCCGCGTTACTTGGTTGCTGGATGAGCTGCTGGGCGTGATATACGAAGCTGTTATATATGCAGAGCTTGCCGGGAGCGATGGCTAAAGTGCCAACGGAGATGTAAAACGGCGTGATGTCGCGCTGGATCAGGTGGCAGATAAGAAGGGATGACAGAGATTCGTGGGTTTTGCAGATGGATCGAGGATTAGCAACTGCACTCCTGGTGATGGAATAGGAAGATAACCAAACACCCAACGCGGCTCGGCCGACAAATACAAATGGTAGCAACCCAAACGTATGTTTCTTCCCAGTTTTTAGCGTGTTTGCTATATCCAAGACTTAGACAGGACGTCACTGAGAATTGCCTCACAGACAGGACAACATCCAGGTGGCCTCTTCTATTCGCCAGCCTGCGTGGCCCAGGCAAACACCACCTGGTGGCCAGGCAGCTCTTTCGTTCTAAGCACACCCGCTCCAGAGCGAGCTGAATGGCCACTTGCTTGGACGTTCTTCTCCCTGCTGCGCGGCGCGTACCATTCTCGTGTCGATTTCACAACCCGCTCGTATCCCGCTCAGCCCCTTCTATAACCTGACTACCGTCGCTCCCCCTGGGCCTCGCCATCGATTTGAGACTGTGTCCCCATTATTGAGGTCCAAGCAGTTATTTTCATCCGGCCAAAACCCGGATGAGGTAGGTGCTGCAACATCTCAACACCTTGTTCAAGGCTGCGGGTTGCTCGATTGCCAGCCTCGAGGTTAACATCACCTTCATCGACGCCATCGACAGTCCTACCACCATAAAGAGGAGGTCCCCGAGTCCAAACCTAAGCCCCCGAGAGCGCTCTGTCTCCTTTTCCCCTAGCCTTACAAAGTGTCAAATACTCAATCACTTAAATGAACTCTTATTCCGCTTTACGGCGTGAATAAGAAAGACCACCTCGCTGCCCACGCTACCAAGAACCTCGAACAGATGGGCGAGGTCGCCCACCACGGACCAGAAGACCTGTTCATCGGGGCGCGGCCTTGATCCATACCTTTGCCGTCATCTACAGCACCACAAAGATGCATGTCACGAGGGTGCCGCCGCAGGGCGTCGCGCGGTCTGGCTTTCCACTGCCGCACGCCCTTATTATGGTGTCATGCTCGACGTTGCTCTAAGTGCTAGGCAGCCTCTGATCGCCGCGCGCCAGCTATCTAATTTAGGACCCGGCGCAACAGCAAACATGCATCTCTGCGCAAGACCAGCTTCAGCTGTCGGATAGCTGACTGGTTACACTCAACGGCCACTTCGTCTGGGTCTGCGAAGGCTGACTGCCGCCCGGACTTTTCGCAGCCCAGCACCGGACAATTCCAATGAGACGGGCATCAGTGACGAGCTCACCGCTTAACCCCTATTGTCAGCACGGCAATCTCCTCCAACTCTGTCTCCAAATGCATGTCTTCATGCTATTCCTTTTCGGGCTGTCAATTCACGTAGCTTTGAGTTCAAAGGCAAAGACAAGTAGCTGAAAACTTCCGCGTCCACACTCAAGGTCCTGGACGTCATCCTAGTCGATGCGAAGCTAGGCGACAAAAGGGACAACTAGGGGGGGGCCGACCTCAGTGTTTGGGATGCACCGTATTCAGACAATCAGTGGGGACGGCGGGAGCCGTTCCCGCAAGCATTTAAAGTGCCCGATGTTTGCAGGCCGAACCAAACTTTCCGCTGTGAGGGGCGTGAGAGTGCCGCCGCCGGCCGCATCATCATCGACCCGATTAAGCTCACCTCGATAGCTGAAGGGTCGCAGGAGACCACGTCAATTAGAATACAGTCGTATCAACAGGGACCACCTCGGGCATTGTCGACCTTTCCGGCAACGGGACGACTTCGTATGTCGACGGGAAGCTTACGAAGCTCGTCGCCTACCGCCAGGATGGGTTAACAAATGGTCACCTTCCCCACTCTCAATCTTCAACTTTGGGTGCCACAATGAAAGAGCCAGGCTGTCCATCACCACAATTGGCCCACTGGAATTAGCTTTAACCGCCAACTCGACGCGTATGGAGTGGCGAAAAACGCCCAACTGTGGCATATCGAGGCAAGGCGACCAACACTCCCTCATGGGAGGGAGGACTAAAGTTAGGCGGGGCGCCATGTGAATGAATCCCATGATGAGAGCGAGCACAATCAAGCACTTTCGCCTAAAGCCAAAAGCCCACTGTTTCTGGCAGGTGGCCGGGTTACCGAGATAGTCAAACCCACCCGCGAGCGACCTAGCACGTTGCAGTCGCCTGGATCAATGCCCGTCATGTTGCCTCGGCAGATCTCCAAATGTGCGTTGAACCCTCGCCTTGGGACTCAACCCTGACAATGAGCCTCCACGGTGGAGACGCTAGCTGTTGAAGACGCTGGAGCTGGAGCTGAATCCCCGTTTTTTGTGCAATTCGTCGACCCAACAGCGTCCGAGCGCCGTGAAAATTACACTGGCGGCCCTGCTTGGCGATGGAGTGCGATCGTGTGTCCCAGGAAGCATTGCACGATGCCCGGGAAAAAAACCGGACTGCAAATGTTTTTCCCCACCCAAACTCTACCTCTCCCAACACAATTGCACCAGCACCAAAACCGAACAATATGCCCGCGCACCACTCTACACCGAAAAGAATACGCGTTCAAGGGATTTGTAATTATCTTGATGCAAAAGGCACTACTTATAGCCACAATGATGTTTTTCGCTTTGCCGGATCATAGATGCAGAGGGCAAAATGACTGCAGATTG